TGCTTTCCACACATTTATATGGGAAATAATGGAAAAAGTTTACAACAAACTGTACAATGCTGGCTTTGAACCAAAGGAGATGTTGCTWACAAATTGTACATRGGRAAAATTTGGCGACCTTCTTGCTCAATCAGGAGGCCGTCAGCTAGGTCTCTTTGATGAGTTGATGAGTTTCTTTGGGTCAATGAACATGTACARTGCCCAAAAAACACAAATCTCAGATACAAAAGATCATGCCGACTTTCTGCAACTTTTAAATGGCAAGAGCCAAACAAGAGAAACAGGTAACATTTTCAATTCAAAAAATTAAATAAGTATTATATCAAAAACACTTAATCAAACACTTTGTGACATTAAAATTAATACTACTCATCATTTAAGGATAGTTCACCAATTCAATGTAATAAAAATATATCTACACAATATCACATCTGATTTCTCTAAACATTTTTTTACTATGATCTTTTCAGTTACTGGAAATGCAAACTTTAAAATGAACAACACATCATTTACCATGATGGGATTCTCCCAACCATGTACTGTTCTCCCAATAATAAACAGCACGACAAATAATGCAAAAGGGTTTACCTCAAGAATACTTTGGTTCTTCCCAACATCAACCTTTGCCAAAGTAAGGGACATGAAGCTGAACAAGAAAGAAGAAATTATTATAGAAGAATTTGAAAATACATTTGGTAAGCTGTACACTAAATACTTTATATTTATTTTTGCTTATATTTATTTATGCTTACAATCCCAAGTAACTTTTTACAAATAACGTAATTTTCTCCATACACATCTTCCATCAACTTATAAAAATTCATTTTTCAAACAATTTTCTTTTAGAACAACCAGATCTGTCATCCAATCTGATGTAAATGCATTTATATTACAGTCAACAATTTTTACCATCGTTTTTTTTTTAAACTAACTAAACCTAATCAATTTAAATTTCCTTCATAGTAAATTTTCTGGCTGAACTCTTTCTTSCTGGAGAAGACACATAYGTTCTTAATGAGATCAACAAAGTAAAGCATGTCATGGTCAAAAGACGAACCTTTACTTTGACAGAAGAAGGATATGACACCTATTGCGATATCCATGATGAATGGGAGATGAATGTATGCAAGAACAACATAAATGACCCTTTAATTGGAGGTAAACAATGAACAATTTTTATTTGATTTGGTATAAAGTTAAGAAAAACTCATTGTATTTTATTAAGAACGAGGCGATATACAATTATACCTTAAAGAGCATATGGCATGAAAACAGTCATTTTGTCAATCGATAGTGTTCTTCAAAAACTCTTAATTTCAAATTTTAAAGAATTCGGAACAAAACTCACTAAGTAAAAATTATCCAAAGATCCAATTTGGTCCTCTCTCTGTTATCACTAAATTTCATAGTATGAAAGGCACTAGTTTGTTGTTTTAAAATATAAGTTGTTTCATGGTTTGTTTGATGAAAACATAAAGTAAAGTGTTATGTTAGGAGTCATCAAAGAAACCAGTATGCATGAGTATCTGAACAGCATACAGACAGCAAAAGTCATACTGAAACTAAACACCATTATTATCGGCCAGACACTTCAGTTATAATTATTATAACTACAACTAACAATCCCCTTTTTAGCGTTTAAATATCGAATTGTGTTCACAATACTGAGTTCCTCAAAAACTTATAGGTTTATGGTGTAAACATGGGCTGGCATTGATTTTTTAGTGCTTCGCAACAATTTGAGCGGAAACACAACATTTTTAAGTACACTTCTAGTCCTAGTGTTGAGTTGCAGAATTCACGTTCTATACATCGAAAACTAATTTCCCTTGAACTGATGAAAGTATATAAATAACAAAGATTTTCTCCTGTTCATGCTTTGTTCGCTTCTAGATTCTCATTACTGTTTCTTGTTTACATCTGTGAGTCAAGAGTTTGTGTACGCAAATACTTTTCGCTTTATAAAGGCAAACAGCCTTTAATACATATCAACTCATACATATTCAAGAGTTTTATACACTTCTCCGCAAGCCAGAGTTTGTGTATATAAGTCATCAGGATCTTCCATGCTGTCTTTATCTTCGTATGATAAACCTATCGCATTGGGATTGCGCTTCTAGTGAACATTAAATTGAGATTGAATTCTAGTGATAGTGAAATGCGATTGTATTTTCATCACTTCCCCATTCATTTATCTATCTTTTTTCATCGTGAGGTGCCATAATTTCATCCGATTTTGACTATTTTATATCCACATTGGTATTACATAATAAGGCCCTACCTTCTGACTCACATTGTGATATATTCGACAGAGGTTTCAGTGGTGCAAAGAGAAGATTGTAAAGTGCAGCAAAACTACACCAAGAAAATGAC